CAAATTCAGGAATGAACACCTCACCTTGAGTTAAGTAGAAAAGGACTATGATGCTAAAATAAGATTCTCTCAGGGCAGTACTATATAGTTCTGGCCAGGGCTTTTAAAAGTTACATGTAGTAGGAAACCTGCATGCCTGAAAACTAATCTGTAATGCTTTTGTGGTTACGAAGTCAACCTACTCATCAGATTTGAAAGTATTGTGCTTTAAATATGGACCTTGACTTGATGATTAGCAACCCATTTGAGTGAAAACTCCTTGAGGACAGAGAGTACATCTACCATGCTCCTCACTATGTACCCTGCCCTCACCACACTGGTAAAAAATAAACAAGCATTCTAGGATGAATGAATGATTGACTTGAAACCCATACTGGCGACCATACTGAATGATATTTTTATCCCCCAACACATAACAGTCATAATTATCTTGTACTATTCTATACTGACTACATATTAGTTCCAAATTCAAAATTGATTTTTAATCTAAGCCAAACACCAGTTTATCCATGCTTTTTGTTTCTAAAAATTCAAGTCTAAGTTTTTGGATCAACCCTTTTATGGGGAAAAGTTAAAAAATTAGAAAAAATACTAAAACACCTTAAGGGCTAGGGTGCAGCTCAGTGGTAGACCATTTATTTGCCTAACATGTGTGAGGCCCTGGGTTCAATCCCCAGTACTACAAAAAGAAAACAAAAACAAAACAACAACAACAACAAAAAAAACCATAAACATGGTGACAAGATGATAAAGAAATCTAGGCCAAGGGGAAGGGGAAGTGGGAGGGGTAAGGGAAAGGAAAGAAGGGAATGGAATTAATATGAGAAAATGAAAAAATGGAAAGAAAGTCTTTGTAAATAGGAGGGATGGAGGGGTTGAAGGGAGGGCAGGGGAATGGGGATAAAATAAGAACCAATAGAGATTATGAAAAGGTGCAAATTTCCAATGATGAATGTCATATTGTATACCTAAAATGTACCAATAAAATTAATTTTTAAAAAAGAAAGAAGAAAGGAGAAAAGAAGTTACAAATAATACACTTTGACCAACATGTACCAATAAAATTAATTTTTAAAAAAGAAAGAAGAAAGGAGAAAAGAGAAAGTATAAAATTTACATAATAATTTTACATTCAGTAAATATTAATATAATGCAGTAAAAAAAAGAAAGAAATCCAGGCCAAAGCCAAAGGACAAACTGGAATCCAGAGAGGTAAATAACCATAAAAACTGCATTACATGAAGGTATTTGCCAGTCTCTAAAGGCTTGAGCTTTTACATCAATAGTCTTCTGAGAAGGATCAAAAACAAATCCCAGCGCTTTTGTAAGGTAAGGAGTCTAAAAGGTGACATTTTCTACAACAACTCAATATTCTAGAGGATTCGTAAGGGTAAATCAGAGTTGGGCTAAACCTCTTAAGAATTATAGCTGGGGTTATAATACTGTGGTCATCCAAAATACAAGGCACATTAGGTCTTGAAACTGGTTTAAATTGGAGCTGGGTTGAAAACGACTAGTGTTTCCATGTGGAAATTCCTTCTCAGCATTTCTTGAGAAATTTATATGCCTAAATTCTAAGAAAAATCAGTTAAGAAATCTGGAAAACAAGAGAAAGTACTAAAATTCTCCCATGTGAATAAAGCCTAACAATACATGTAGAGATGTGGGTTTAAAGAAATCAGCAAGATGAAAGCAAGTTTGAAAATACTGACACAAAAAGTGAAAAATTACTATTGACATTTCCAGCAACCAGTACAAGAACACACAGGATGGAAAGACATGGGCAATCAGCCAAGTTTTGTTCAGAACCGTTGCTATGCTATACATGTGTTTATGAGTATGTGGCTTATGGCCCTGTGTGCTGCCAACAGTGAGTCATTCTTGCAAATAAGTATCAATAAGCTTATTTGCATAGTATGATTTTTATAATCTTATATGTGATGTTCTAAGAAATCAAGTTTTGGAAGCAACATCCTTACATTTGGCAATTCTGATCCATGTTCTATGTAGTGTTAAACCTTGCTAAAAGAGGTGAATGTTCTCATTTGAATAATAACCAGTAAATGTTTGCCCAGTGTTTTTCAATGTTTAATGTTTGCTATAGGTTATATCACTCTGCTATTTATTTATTTGTTTATTTGGTGCTGAGGATTTAATCCAGAGCCTTGCACATGGTAAGTACATGCTCTATCATTGAGCTACACCCCATCCTCTGTAAATATTTAACAGAAGAAATGCAAAGAGAAGTTGTGAATATCATTGTGAAAAACTACTACTATAAAATACAAAACTTCTAAAATGTGAATTAACAAAAGCAGTATGAATTTCAATGGCAAAAATCAAAATCAGAATAAGCAAATCAAACATTTTCAATGGTAAAACAAAATAAGTTTATATAAAACAAAATGCACTATAATGGCCCTACCTTTTGGATATACACTTAGCAACTGAACCATTATCAATGCATAATGGAAACTTTTTCCTATGTCTGAAATATGAGTCATAAAATAAACATCAACTCCATCTAACAGGGCAACTAATGCTTTGTGTATTTACAATTCTATCTTAAGAGTAATTTTAAAGTCAGACATCGCAGTATACACCTGGAATCCCACCAATTGCAGGAAACTGTGGCCGAACAATCACAAGTTTGAGCTTAGCCTGGGCAATTTAGTAATTTAGTGAGACTCTGTCTTAAAATTAAAAAGAGCCAGGGATGTAGCTCATCACTGTCTGGGTTCAATCTCCAGTACCACAGAACAAAATAAAACAAAAACTCACAGGCCTTTAAATTTCAAGATTACAGGTTATACAGGACTGAGCTAGAGAAGTAAAGTCTGGTACTCAGACTGATGAATTTCTTCGTCTTGAGGAACTGTTTATATTGTTGAATATACCTTTTATGAACACAGAAAAAGGGGACCTTAAGAGTCTTAACAGTTAGTGATTGCAAGGAATAAGTAATCTCATCATATTAGCAGTAGATATAAATAACATATCTAATGAATAGTTAAAAAGACAACATTACCATTCCTAATGTCATATTTCATAGATCTAAATTATTAAAAATCTGATTGAGATTCCACTTACCTACTGGTATGTCTTTCATAGTATTAAACTTTTACCAATTAAAAATATATGTATAGGGGCCAGGGATTTAGCTCAGTGGTTTTGCCGCCTGCTGCACAGGCGCAAGGACCCAAGTTCGATCCCCGGTACCAAAAAAAAAAAAAATATATATATATATGTATGTATAGCAAAAATATTTACTGAATTATTAAATCAGAACTGAAAAAGAAGGTCAGGTGAAAAAGATTAGCAATTAGTACTTAGTCCATTAATCTACATATCCATTTAAACACACTGCACAGTGTTTTTTTTTTTTTTTTTTTGCACAGTGTTCTTGAGCACAGAAGACATAACACTTCAGTGGAACACTATTCATTCTAAAAGAATGGCATTACTGAGAAGTCTCTGCTACCTGGAATTTGAGGGACTTTAGTTTTCCCACCTGTATATGTAACAAATTAATAGTATTACAAGTGTAGCTATAAACATTTAAGTGTGGAAAATGAGGGAGACTACTGGGGTTTACTATGACTTTGGGGACACAGATCTCAGCCACGGTTCCCACAGAATTCTTTTCCAGGTGCTCTAGAATCATCAAGGAAAGAGCTCAGGTACAGTGTTACATGAACATCTTTTTGAGGCTGTCTAAGCACCTACCCTAACACTCAAGGTCAAATGTTGTTGCAGTTCCTGTACAGCACATGTGACCTAGGAGTCTAGCCGTTCCCTAATTAGTCATGTTAAACTTGTCCCAGGACACCCCCCCCCCCGCCACTGCCATATCTCTGAGTCTGGAGTTCTGCTGGAACCATGCTCCTTTCCAGAGAATATTTTGGATAGAGGTTTTTTTCCCCCTTTCTACAACACCAGCTGCTTTTCAACTTTCAGAAAACTACTTGATCTGGCCTTCCAATAATGGTTATTGTTGGAATTTTAAAATTATACTCTCCTCATTCTCTTTTAGAGACCTAAGGTAGAAGGGGAGGCAGGTCTGTGTGCTCAGTCTGCCACCCTGACCTGGGCTCTCTGCACCTGGTACATATATCACTGGGGTACATACCATGTTTCTGCTTTTATTTCTTATTGGTATCCTGCAATTTCTAGATCCCCAGTTACTTTTTATCATTTACTTTCCTGGTAACATGTACGTTCAGCAGTCTCTGGTACATAGGCCAAAAGCGATATGCAGTCATTGTATCCTAGGGCTTTAGACTAAATGCTGTTGGCTCCCTCTCCTACTCTTCCTACTTCATAAATTATTTCTCCTGTGATCCTGAAAAATATGAATTCTCCAAGACTGGTCACAGAATATAAATTGGTGGAAAATAATATACTGTATTAGTAAGAATCATGAGTTTAAATGCCATCTCCCTTGGCAAATTAACCTCTGTAAGTCCTAGTTTCCTCCTCTATAAAGCAGCCATAGGAATTAGCCCATACTTTTAAGGGGGGGTGTGAAGATTACTTATGTAAGCAAACGGTGGCAAATGCTTACTAGTAAGTAAAGAAATGGGTTATTTTTATTATTGAAATCTAGTCCCTAGACCACAAAGATACAAGCTGTAGTTTTCTTAGGAATCTTGGCCTAGAAGTCTTTAGTTCTTGGTAGAACATAGTTAAGAAAGTTACATTTAGGGAGTTCCTACTCCACATCATGGACATCATAGCAGTAGGTGAGGTACACGTCAGTGGGAACACATGTCTCCAAAGCTTGACCTTCTTTACCTCAGCAGCAAATGCAGTGTAGAGGATACAATAGTCACAGGATATAGTGAGAGAACAATCTAATTGTAGTGACAGAAGAAACTGAGTAATGAAAATTAAAATCACCTCTGTTGATCAAAGATGGTAGCAATTCCTCATACATTTGGGCAGACTGTTACCTTGACTGTGGATGTCAAAATATAAGAAGACATTATTTCATCACTTACCTCTCAGTTGCTGCAGTCCCAGGTTCAAACTTTCAATGTTACTCTCAAAGAACTCAAGATCCTCAAGGGTCTCTGCCCTTAAGGATGCATCTTGCTTCTCCTCCAGCATCAGGCTCAGCTCTTCTTGAGCTCTCGTGTACATATCCAGATCCTGCTCCATTTCCTGAATCCTTACCAGGACTAAGGGACAGGGGGACGTCTGATCCAGACTCTGTTCCACATGCTCAGGGCCCTCCTTTTCTAGAGTCTTGAAGCTAGGACAGTGACAGGAGAGTGGATTGGGGGAGGCTGCATTTAATCTCTGTTGTGCAGGAGGCAGGGGAGCTGGGCGTGAGGGCCGCACGGGCAAGGGGGGCACAGGTTTTGGGCTCTGGTCAACCAGCAAGTGAGGGGAAGTAGATGTTGGAGTATGTGGTCGGGGTGGTGGTGGCCTTAGTGCTTTTCTCCTCTCAGGTAGGTCCTGCGAAGGGATTGATTTTGAGGAACCTCGGACGATATCCTTCTCAGAGTTAAAATCCATAATTGAAAAGTGGCGTAAAATTTTATCTGGCTCTGTGGCAGACGCTGACAGGCTCTTTTCGAATTCTATCAGCTGTTGTGTCAACTTGGAATCCAGGTCAGTGCTGCCATCTCCATGTGAAAGTGCTATTACTGCCACAGCGGGGCCCTTGCCTTGTGGACCAGGTTTTCTTTCTGATCTCCCTGATGTGGAGCTGAAGCTAGAGGTGTTTTCTTTGGATGTGTGGTGTTTCTTAGTACACTTTGCCATGCCCTGGAACTGAGGACTCAACTGGTTAGGGTGGGCTACCCTCGAGGCTGTGAGGGAAGAGCCTCTGTGAAGGGGGGCCAGTGGCTTTCTCTGGGAGCTCCGTTGAGCACATGTTCCTCTGGGTGGTAGGGTAGAGTAGTCTCTAGTCCTGGCTTCTACAGGAAGGTCAGAGAACTGTTCGGAGCTTTGATGGTCCCCTTCTGCTGTAGAGTTATACTGGTTTTTCTGCAATTTTGAATGAAAAGGTACCTGAGGTTGGGAAGAAACGCCACTGACCGCCTCTAAATAATGAGTCATGTCAGAGTCCTTAGAGGGAGGCTTTTCAAGCTCTGTACCAGGGCTTCGGGGGAGCTCTCCTGAGGTACCTTCATCTTGACTGGAGTTCTCGTTTATATCATATTCAGGAGTCAGATGATTTAGGAGAGTAGTGGAGTTCTCAGGAAGACCACAGCTGGTCTCCTCTGCTTTGTACTCATGAGACTCATGTCCTGGTGTCTCCGCTACTAAGGAGTTCTCCAAAGCATCCCAAGAACTTTCTGGGGCTTTGGTAAGGCTCCCTTCCTGGGACAGAGCTATGGGCTCTTCTGTTCTAGCATTAGGACATAATTTTACAAAGCGGTGGGGAAAGATGCCTGTCCTGCCTTTCAGGCACCCTTCTAGCCAGCCATCTTCCAAGGTTGCCAGAATTCGAATTTTATCCCCTACTTCAAAATCCAATTCATTAGGCTCCAGAGCTTGGAATCTATAGAGGGCAATTCCATAGGCCCCAGGTTGCTCATCCTCCTCCTCTAGCCCCTTCTCTTCTTCTCCTAGAGTCATATCTACTTCACCATTAGCAACACAGTCATCTTGATTTCCAGAAGTTATTGACTCATCCACAGTTCTCAGGGGCCCCAAAAGCTCTACAAAACCTTCTGGGAAAATGCCTCTTCGACCTTCTAACTCCCCTTCAAACCAGCCTGGCTCAGGAACTCCAATAATGGTAATCACATCCCCTTCCCTGAAGTTCAACTCCTCATCTAGCTGAGCAGAAAGTCCCATGAGGGCTCGTGCTTGTCCCATGGAGTACTCAGGAATCTCAAGCAGTGCACTGTGTGTGTGCCACTGCTGGCTGTGAGAGGAGAGGAAGAGTTCTCGAACACATGAGGATGGGAAGAAGCCCCGGGAACCCCAGCAGCTGCGGCCCTGCAGCCAGTCTGCAGTGGGAGTATCATCATTGAGAATCACCAGGTCACCTGAAGAAAGAAAAACAAAGACAACCTCAGTCATCACCCCAGAAGCATATTACTGTGACCAATAATGCAATTCATCATTTTAAACACCTGCCAATTCAAGGAAATACATACCACAAACACTGAGATAACTTAATGAATTGGGACATGTTTATTTATTTAGTTAGTTATTTTCTAGTACTGGAATAGAACTCAGGACCTTGCACTTGCCAGGCAGGCACAGTGCCACTGAGCTGAATCCCTGGCCCTGGAACATGTTTTATGGTTTTCATAGTGTAGTTTGAAAAAGTGGTTTTCAAAGTGTGGTTTTCAAAGTGTGACCCATGGAACCTAGGGGTCCCCAAGATTCTTTCAGAGGATCTGAGAGGTCAAAACTACTTTCATAATACTTTACACTTTTCTCTGTGTTCACTTTCACAATGATTATGCAAAAGCAGTAGGGGGTAAAACTGCTGGTACTGTGTAAACCAAGGCAGTGACAACAAATTACACAAGTGGGCAATGTACAGTTCTATTCATCACCATGTCATCAAGTATAAAAAACAAAGCCAGTTTCAGTTAAGAAAGTCCTTGATGGAGCAATAAAAATTATGTTGCATCGGGCCGGGGATTTAGCTCAGTGGTTTCGTCACCTGCTGCGCAAGCGCAAGCACCCGAGTTCGATCCCCAGTACCAAAAAAAAAATGTTGTAGCAAATCTCAAATCTTGTGGATATTCCCTTTGTAATATTCTGTGTAACAATATGGCAATTATACACAAAGCACTTTTACTGGTTGTCTTGAGGGAAAGCACTTGAGAAACTGAGTTCTATACTTGGATTGACCACTTTTTTTTTGATGAGGATTGTTTTATATGAAGGCATGACTGACAGCTATGGTTTTTCAGGCTTGGGCAGCTGAGAGACGTTTCTCCAAAACCAAAGAAGTGGATCTATAAGTTCAAGGAAAACAACCAACAGTATTTGTTGCCAAAGATAAAATTCCAACTTCCAAGCTAAAATCAGTTTGAGAGAATTTCTTTTTTTTGAGGGGGGGGGGGTTTCTATCTATCATCATGAGCTTGACTGCTTTACCATACTCAAAAATTTTTCTAATGAGATCACTAGAGATATTAAGAAACACACTAACACACTTTGTGATTCTATATAATAAAATGGTCAACATTTGGAAAAAATTGAATGACTCATTAAACCAATATTTTCCAAATGACCAATGAATGTTATAAAATCACAAATTAATAAAAGATTCTTTACAAATTCCAGATTAATGGATTTTAGTGTAATAGTACAAAAAGTTCACTGATACCGTTTCAGTTCCCACACGGCAATTAACCCTTAAGAAACTACTTCTTGCATTCTGATGAAGTATCAAAGAATATTCACAATGACTATTAAAATAACCATCCTAGTTCCCACTACATATCTGTGAGAAGATGGAATTTAAAAAAATATATTTCAAGCTGAGCAACATATTGCAGTAGATTGAACACAGATGCAAATATGAAAATCCAGCTTTCTTCTATTAAGCCAAACATTAAAAAGACTTACAAAAATGTGGGCCAATATTATCCCCACTAAATTTTTTTTGGTTTGGAAAATAAAAGTTACTTTTAATAAAAATGTTATTTATGTTAATATATGAGTTTTTTATATTTATGTTAATATGTCATGGGGTTTTTGGTGAATTGATAAATTTTTCTAATTCCTAGGTTTTGTCTATTCTTTTTGAGACAGGGTCATGCTATATAGTTCAGCATGGCCTTTAAATCATTATATAGCCCTGGATGTTCTCAAACTTGTGACAATCCTCCTGCTTCAGCCTTCCAAGTGCTGAGATTACAGGCATGAGCCAACATGCCCGGCCTATCAAATTTTTTTTTTTTTGGTACCGGGGATCGAACTTGGATCCTTGAGCTTGCAAGGCAGGCAGCAGAACCACTGAGCTAAATCCCCAGTCCTATCAATTTTAATCTTTGTTTTTTCTTGAACAGAATCTTTCTATGTAGTTCAGGCTGGTTTTGAACTCACTATGTAGCCTAAAATGGTCTCAGGTGATCCTCCTGCCTCAACTTCCCGAGTGTTGGGATTATAGGCGTGTGCCACCATGCCTACCCAGCTCAATTTTAATCTTATTCTAACATTCCTCTCACTTGAGAGTCAAGAGTGACAAAATTGATGTAAAAAGTAAGATGGGAAGTGTAAGGTAAGATCTGGGTGGCAAAGCCTCTAGCAAAACCATGAGTCTTAAAAAAAAAACAAAACTCATGAGTCTTTATATAATTGAGTACATCAAAAAAATGGATTATCTTTTATGTTGTTGATTTTTATATGATCTGGATTTTTGAAAAGTTTAAGTTCACCTTATCTCCCCTAAGTGGATTACAGGTTCCATATTGGCAGGACCCACTTCTCTCTTGTATTTCAGGAATCTGATGTAAAGCCACTTGCATAGCACTCAGTGTCCATCTGCTACTGATTATTCTTCGACCCCAACTCCCAAGAAAATTCATTATATTCTCCCTCTAAAACTGGCTCTTGCTAACTTCCTTTTTCCCTCTACTTCCTTCTTTCAGTATATTTCTTCCATCTATTAATTGCTCTTTGTTATTAGTTTCTACTGTCTTACCCTTTAAAATCTTTCCCTGAACATTTTTCCAGTCTACCAAATGATTCATGCCAATTAACTGTACATATATTGATTTTATAATATCTTTCCTGAGCTCAAACTTTTACCATGAGACCTTTATGCAGAGCCTACTGCCTACTTCCCTAATATACCTATTCAAATTATCCAAAATAAATTTAAAGAATAAGTCTGCTCTGGACACACTCTGAAGAGCTTTACTGGTTAAGATACTAAAAGACTGTTGTTTTGTTTCACCTTGATGCAACCTTGTGTTCACAATCGTGCAGGCCTAACTTCTCCCCTCCTCAACCATCCCATACGGCCTTACCTATGCGATGAGACCCTGTTCCACACAAGGGGACTTTTGTTCTCCACACAAAAACCATGTCATTATAAACTCCAAGCCCCTATTTATGCTATATTCTCTTTCCATCTGAAATCTTTATATGCTTCTCTAAAATCCTTATAAATTCACATTCATTTTGGCCATATGTAGCCTATGAAAGAAATTGTCACTTGTATCACTAATTCTGGCACTTGTACTTTTATATACTACATAATACCTAGTGTAAAGTTTTAGACTTTATGGAAGATACCCAATATATTCTCACTGACTTGATATTACTTTGCTTAGTTGTCCAAAAAACAGGGTCTTAGTCCTATATTTCTTATATTCTTATTTCTTATATTGTATAGTCCTATACTTCCTATATTCCTTTAATTTATGATTCAATGCTGGTCAAAGCTTTGAGTCCTGAGAATTACAAGTGATTTATTTTCCCCTACAGAGCCTACAGTCAGTCGGCCAACAGAGCTACAGAGGGAACTCCATGAGGTGACTTTGTTCAGACACAATGGGACTCTTAGTGAACAAGAAAATAAAAGCATGCCATAATTCCCACTCAGCTGCTTTTCAAATGAACTGGCTTTCTTAAAGCAGCAGAATGACAGAATTTTCTTTGTTTGCCCAGATCTCCATGAACTCATATAATGGGGCTTGTTTTCTTGTCTATTTTCAGTTGAGTGACTGTTTTGATAAGCTGTTATACCTGGCACACTGTCTATCTGTTGTTTATTTCTACAAAATAAAGGTGAATTAAAAAAAAATCACAATTTAGACACTGGAAGGCACTCAATGCCCCCATTTCTGAGCTTTTGCAAGAATCTCTTTATTTTCACCAGACATGCAACCCATTGCCCTGGAATCCTAGGTGATTCCTGAGGAATGGAGGCTACCTAGTGGTCATTTTCAGACTTCAGAACACCAATATGAAGAATTCCAGGAATGAGGTGACCAGATTTGAGAACGGAAAAATAAGTGTGGTGCTTTTTAGGGTCAGCCTGAATCTTTGGCTGATGCACAGTTAATCTCAGCTACACTGCTTGATTGCTCTAGTCAGATTTTTTGTTTGAACAGGAACTAGATTAGAAATAAAACAATAAGAATAAATGCAAGTCTCCATAGAATCTGATACAAGCTCAGAAGAATCAGGTTCCTCACTGACTCCACTGGTGGCTCTAAGTGCCCAGGGGAACGATATGCTTCATTAGGCCTGACCACACCTTTTATATAGCTTCCCACATAAGCTATAACAGAACTGTGATCTTAGCCATGTGTGGTGGCACACACTTGTAATTCCAGCACTAGGGAAACTGTGGCAGGAGGAGTGCCACAAGTTTGAGGCAGCCTCTTTAGTAGTCTCCAGGTCAGACCTGTTCTACAGAAATGGACCAGCTGCACTGTGCCCAACTTGGGCCTGTCATCGCCAGCATGGCTGTGGGTCATGCTGCTCAAGTGAACACTCCAGATTTGACTCTGAAGCAAGCACAATTTAGCTAAACTTTTTTTCTTAGCATTCATCATAATTAGTACAATGTTCATAACAGAATTGGAAACCCTTTGAAATAAAATTTTAGGCAGTTTTGCCCTTAGATGTAAGATTAGTTCAGTGGTTGGTCTCATCTCAAAATTAACAGTGACACAAGGTGCTGTGTGCGGCAGGGCCCGTTTGCTTTCCAGATGCCCGGGAAGCTTGCTAGCCCTGTAGCCAAAGCACTGAGGGAAACCCGAGCACCAGGTCTGCCCTGCACACACTGCCAGCCAGGCTTTGGATCTGACTCATGGATTTCAGGCACAGAGGTTGCCTGTGGTAGTAGCAGGTGTGAATCACAGAGAAGCTATGGCCTCCTTTGTACCCGGGCAGGCCACTGAGGTCCCACTTACAAAGGGTGTCACATGGGAGGCCTGGCAAACTGTGGACTTTGTTAAAACATTGTGGAGACTTTTGCAACCTAGGGCGGAGTGGATTTCAGTAGTGCAACTGAAAATACTCTGAAGTAAATGCAATTCAGTAGAAATGCACCAGTGTGTCAGCTTAA